ACACAGACATGTTATAAAATACTTTCCAAAATGTGGCGAACTATGGGCTTGGATCTAAATCCAGGTTTGCTAATTCAGGAGGCAATAGCTAGTCAGTGGAAGAATTCTTTACCTTTGTGATTCTTGGCAGTTACACCAAACAGGTAATCAACAACCAAGAGCAAACATCACCAACCAAAAGAAAGCAAACCAGCTCCTGTCAAGTGAATCCCAGCTGCTGGCAATGGTCCAACAGGTTTCCCAGGCCATCAATCTTCATGGGAGAAATCTGCTCATCTTTCTCGCATAGACAGGCTGGTGAATTCAAACTCCTGACAATATGATGTGTTCTATACTTGTCTTATGGGATGCAAAATTCCTCAAAAGTTATCTCTATTTGATGAGGAACAAGTCTCTCCAAGAAAAAAAGCCCACTGTCACTGTTATCATAATTTCACTTGCTGTGTGGTTTATATGTGATTTCCCAAATACTTGAAACTTGGTTTCCATAAAAGTCTATGACTGAGCAGTTTTCTGAGTCCCAATAGGCTCCTTGTCCAGGCAGGTCTAAGCCAGCTCCAGGATGGACCTGCCAGTTGGACCAATCTTGTCTACTTCTTTCACAACATTCCTATAATGTTTAGAGATATGAGTAAAGCAACAATGATTTCCTTCTTAGATCCTTTCACAGGAAACTGAGTAACATGAAAATCGGACAAATTCTTTCATTGCTGCCTAATATTATTCCACTATGGATATATTAAATCATTTCATTATGTAATCAGGAAATAGATGTCTACATACACTTTTTTGATAACTGCATTGTCTTACCTAGTACCTATCAACATTTGGAACAATATGGCAACGGAGAACTGCCAGATGTGCAGGCTGGATTTAGAAGAGGTTGCGGTACTAGGGATATTACAGCTAATTTAAAATGGATCTTGGCAGAAAGCAGATAATACCAGAAGAATGACTATCTGTACTTCATTAACTATGCAAAGGCTTTTGACTGTGTGGATCACAACAAGCTATGGCTGACTCTGAGAAGACTTGGCTGAAAGCAGGGAATACCAGAAGAATGTC